TACATTACATACATTACATACATACATACATACATACATACATACATACATACATACATACATACATACATACATACATACATACATACATACATACATACATACATACATACACACATACATATACACACACACACATACATACATACATACATACATACATACATACATACATACATACATACATACATACATACATACATACATACATACATACATACATTACATTACATACATACATACATACATACATACATACATACATACATACATACATACATACATACATTACATACATACATACATACATACGTACGTACGTACATACATACATACATTACATTACATTACATTACATTACATTACATTACATTACATTACATTACATTACATTACATTACATTACATTACATTACATATATACATACATACATACATACATACATACATACATACATACATACATACATACATACATACATACATACATTACATTACATTACATCACATTACATTACATTACATTACATACATACATACATACATACATACATACATTACATACATACATACATACATACATACATACATACATACATACATACATACATACATACATACATACATACATACATACATACATACATACATACATACATACAGACATACATATACATACATGCATACATACATACATACATACATACATACATACATACATACATACATACATACATACATACAGACAGACAGACATATACATACATACATTACATTACATTACATACATTACATACATTACATACATTACATACATTACATACATTACATACATTACATATATATATATATATACATATATACATATATACGTGCGTCTAAAGTCTAAGGCAAAATATGAGGCTCCTTGTGCATGCGAAACAAGGGACCGGCTCTCTGTCTACTCACGCTGCCATGGGTTGCAGGTAACTTTCAGGAATGAGCCTTTTGTGAAGATTGATTTGACCCCGACAGTGAAGAAGGAAAAAGCCCTGTTGGTTTCAAGCTCAAGACCCTTTAGGATTGAGCAAAAGTGGCTTCCTGATCCTTCCTTTCCTGTCCAAGAAGGCTCCTGAGAGCAATGAATACCCAATCGCGCGCTGCATTCATGCACTGCAGTCAGCATGGGGCTAGAATCGTCGCGCTGGAAACCACATGCTACACACCAATCCCCCTCTGTCCCCAAACCATCGCGCGGGCGTCCAGCGGAAGCGACGGAAGCGACGGAGGCGGCGAGCCTTGGTGAGCGGTGCCTCGCACTCGCAGGCCGCTGTGCCGCACTCCCCGCAGAGCTGACGGCGTGAAAGCGAAATCGCCAGCGAAGTCACCGAGAGCTCAAATCGCGAGCCCGGAGCGAAGCCTAAAAAAAGAGACACGTCCAAAATGCGGTGAAGGGAAAAACCTGAATCTGCAACCTACTTTACTTGTTTGAAAGGGGTTGGCATAGAGGGGCTAAGGATGACAGGGGTTGGATAGAAGTGGCCAGTAGCAAGCCACCTTGGTTGATTTACAGATCACCAACCTACTTACAAACACCAACAACTTAGCTCCAACGCAATAGCGACATATCTGTCAAAGTTTATTGGGAGACTGGGGGGCGTGCGAACAGCGCTTCACGTGAGGTGAAGCCACCCTTTACCACTTGGCCACGCGTGAGACGGCGACAAATTGGCTTCTGCCAACAGACACCCCCCAAAATCGGTGAGTTCTTGTTGGGTTTCCTTTCCAGACTCATACCCTCGCGCAAAAGACACGCGCAAATGCTGGTGTGTCTTTTCCCCCCGTTGCACCCTTTCGGCAGGACAATGTAAGGGAGCCAAGATGAAACAATAAAACCACCTGGAGGGGGTCCTGGTTTGGCCATATCAATTTCTTGCCAAATGGGTCGTGCACGTGACGCTGGAAAAGGCCGGCCACCCAACCTGCAAGGCATCGCTTCAAACCATCCTCCCACCAGGAGGAAACAAAGGAGGCCCCAGGCCTAAAGACGATTTTCTTGTCAGGTCAGTTGATGCCACAGCTGGCCCTCAGCAACCGCTCCCTGTTCCCTTTAAATATCACTCCCAGAGGCTGCCCTCAAATGGACAACAGCCAAAAGGTGATGATTGAAGCTAGCAAAAAGGTTCGCGCCTTAAAACAAAAAAAAAAACTCCACCAGCGCTCGGCGGAGCTGCTTACCTTGACGTTGTTGAACCTCCATGCCCGGTCGCTCGGATCGCATTCCGAACATCGAGCCGAATCGGCCTTGCTGGCAGGCACGCAGGTGAAGCAGGGGGCGCCGTTCAGCGTCTGAAGCTCCTGCAGCTCACAGTAGAAGTTTGTTCGGTTCGTTGGGGCAGGAGGTGCATGGCGCACAGGGGCGCCAAGGGGCCAGTGATCGCCGGAAGGACAGGAAGTAACAATTACTCAGCAAATCCAATCAGGTACATTCCCTCAGGCGAACAGGCAGAAGCTCCCCCAATTGACCTCTGGAACCAAGTCTTCCAGAGGGGTCCCTTTTTGAGCTTCCATGGAAGTCTGGGAGAGGGTAGCAGTTGTTTGTCTAGTCGGGGGAAAAGAGGTGTAAGGTAACTTTTTTGTTGGGTATGGTTTTTCTTTTAGCAGTTTGTCGGAAGAGGAGCCTCTAGACATTTGCGGGTGTCTTTCTTGAGGGCCGGTAGCTGCAGGGCAAGCACAGTAGAAGAAATTAAGGTGCTGAGATTGCTAAAATCAAGTAGGTTGCGACTGCATCGAGCAAACCTGTGCGAAGAAGCATGTTTGACCAGGGAAGTGCCGGCATGTTTTGAGAGGGAGGGTTCCCAAGGCTCCAAAAGAGAAGTGCCCGCCCTCGCTGGGGGCAAGGCGTTTTTGACCCTCAGAGAAGTCCCACGTTTGACATCCAAAAAAGAGCCCGCTACAAAATCTAAGACATTGCCCGAAAGATGCCGCAGGTGTGATACCACTACGCATGCGTTGCTGCCTGGGGCCTTTTAACCACTGAAAAATGGCTCCCGCAGTCCTCCACCCGAGCAGCCACTAAGAAATTGAGACCCTGAATTGTTCAGCAAAGGAGCCTTCATCACCCGAAAAGGCCGCTAAAAAAGCCTCCAAGAAATTGAACCGCTGAATTTTCTTGGCAAAGGGATTCCAGCCTAGTAAATCAAGACAAGGAGAAAAAGTGGCGAAGAAATCCAGCCCCCCTGGCTCCAAAGGAGTAGAAACCCGCCCTTTTAAAGATGAAATGGATGACGCTAAGAAATTCTGCCTCCCTGGGCCCCGACCAACCGATTTCTTATACAGCGATCGCGCTGCATCGGCTTCGTGGCTATCAGGTTTGAGGCTACCCGGAGCCCAAATGGGGTTGGGGTGGAAAACGGTTGGTGGTAGGGGTTGAGTTGCAATCAAAACCTGGTAGCAAATCGGTCTGCCCGATGCAAAGAATCAAACGGGCACCCACCCTTGGCAGCCTTCCCTTTCTTTGGTTCTACCAATTACCAGCATAATAGTCATAAGTTAAAGGTGTATCTAGGCCTTACTGTAAGTTTCAACAAACCCGGGGGCTTTTGATTGGGGAACTTTCGGCGGACGTCACCATGGCGGGGCTTCCCTCGTGGAATTTTCAGCAAATCTCGAGGCTGAGCTCCCTGCAAGCCTCAAGTTGCAAGTTCTGAGCTGGCATTGTCGGGTTCCCGAAGTTCCCGAGTGTTCAGGTCATCGGGAATTACTTTGGGATGTGGAACAAGAATGAGAGGGATGGTCGGGGAAGGAATAACCCTTGAATGCACCCGCCATCCCCTATTCCTCTTTATAATGATGATCTTGCCAATAAATTGTTGATGAAGATTGGCTGGTCCAGATGATAACGAGAAAGAGATGCAATGGACAGGACAGATAGGAGATAGATGAAGCCAAACAATAATAAAATAGTTTTAGATTAAAATGATCTCTCTCTCTCCCTTCTTTCATCCACCTATTTCCTGTTCATCAAGGTAGAAATCCAAAAGACCAGATATAGTGTGGAAATTCTAGAAAATAACGAATGCTAGACAACTAAGCCAGATATTGTGTTGTTTTGCTTTATCTCTGTTTTTGGCTAACATTTAATTGGTAATCATCAATAATACAATGAATCACTCCCATTCCCCTTCATGTCTCTCCAATTCTAGGTCTACGTCTACAGAATGGCTGTAGGAAAAACAAAAAGGAAAGAAATGAAAGAACCGAGAATTGGAGGGGAGCGGAAAAACAAAGCGAGGGATGAAGACATGACCAAAGAATAATTCTGGCATACAATCACAGCAAAGAAGGTCAAGAATTTGAGGCCGCTCTGTCTTCTCTCTCACTCAATCTTGGTTCACTTTCTATCTGAATATCTGTCGATGGACAAAATTACTAAAGAAGGAGAAGAAATATCAATACAAAGACAAAAGAAAGAAATACATAGTAAAAAGGTATCAGGACAAAATGCAATTTATGTTACTGTCGGGCTATCACATGGGCTTCTTTTTATGTTTAGCTTTGAGGATACCTTCCAAATTCATTCGGGTTCCAAAAGACCTGCCCGGAGTTCCGAGTTGTTTCTCCGGTCAATATACCAATACGCCCTACGCCTCTTGAAATTGGGAAGCCCTTGACCCCCATGCCTTTGTTCAGAAGGGGTTTCCCACTTCAAGCAACTAGGCCCTTCCTTGACCCAGCTGTGGGGAAAAAAGCATTAGTTCAGAGTCTGCTTCTTCTAGAAGAGTTTTGGAGGAGACCTAATTTAGAGAATTTAGAGACGCTTGGCCGTGATGTTCAATATGTCGTTGGTTTTCTCCAGTCGCTTTTGCCGTGCCAATCGTCAATTCCCCCTGTTCCTGTTGAATCAGGGAAGCCTCGGGCTCCGAATCCTGAGAATGACAAAATTGATTTCCCCTCATCGTTTTCTCACCCCGGCGGCCCCAGCGGCCCATGTCTTTTTTGCGGTTGGCCCAACCTCAGTTGCCCAAAGGTCTCCAACAAAAAAAGACGCTTGGGGCCAAGACGAAACAAGGGCAAACACTTCAGGGTCAGAAGGTCCAGTACAACATGCCGCTGCTGAACACTCAGCCGGTGCCTGGTTAAAGAAGCTTTAAGTTGCCGGTGCGACCAGGGAACGAGAAATGGCATGACCCCGACCTCGATTCGGATTCCTAAAAAAAACACCAAAAACCATTCGCCCGGCGAACCCTCCTCTCACCACTCGCCCTCCCCCCAAACCATCCGCTCCTGCTTGGTCCAGCCCGCCTTCTCGCATCGGCAGGTCTCTGTGCTGCAGCGCCCCTCCTCTTCCGTGCACAGGTTCTCCGCCACCTCTGCAACTAAGTCGTCAATACCTTCAACCCCGGCCTACGCAACCAGCTGGTAAGCCCTCCACACACCAAGTCTAAACCCTTGAGTGACACAACTGTTTTTGTCCACCCTGAACTCACCTTAAACAAGCCCCCCGGAACCATCCAAACCCACTTTAGCCAACCCTAATGCACCCTGAAGCCAACCTTGAACCACCAAGCTCAAACCGAAACCCAGCCTAGACCCACTAAAGTAGACCAACCCTCGACCAGGCCCAACCAGCCGCAAGGGCATACAAAACCCATCCAGCCACAAAAGGAGGGATGGGGGAGGGAGAATCCCCTGCGGGCACCAAAAGGAGTCTCCACGACTTGTCAGTGAACCATCCCGATTTGGTTCCCATTGCACGTGGCCCTGCGGCAACCGCGGCCCTAGTTTTCTACCCCCGTAGGTGCCACAGCCAAGCTGAGAAGACAGCTGGTTGATGGTCAAAGAGACTTTTCTTTCCACGAACAGATGCCCAGTGCTCATGGCAAAACGGGCATCCTCTTTGTGGGTGGAACCCTTCCCAAAAAAGACTCGGAGAAAAAAAAAAGGCGGAATCCACGGGGCAACTGGGAACAAACAACCACGACGTCTTCGACGAAGATCCAAATGGCCGAGACACCTCCACGCAGAACTCCCCGTGGCCACTGCACAAGGTACTCACCGATGACGAGGGATCCTCCTCGAGCTGCCTCGGACGCAAGAACGACAAGCACCACGGAACTGTTCCGTTTGGACCCCCCCAACACGGCACCCCTCCCCAAACACACCTCCCAAAATGGTCTACCAAGTCTTTCCCAAGGGGTGTGTCAGGGGGGGGGGGTTTGGGGGTTCTTCGCTGGCGTGGACGTGTGCTTTTCGAGGGAACACTTTTCAGGTTGGTTTGAAGAAAACAAGGGAAGAACAGTACTTTTAAAGAAAGCAAGAGGGCAAAATCGAGATCCTGCACAGCGAGGGGTACAACGAAAACCTGACAAAACACATTTAACTCTTCGACTGGATCCTTCCCGGTTTCAAGCAATGCATCTTCTTCTCAGCGAATCACCCCCCCCCCTAAAAAAAAAAAAACAGCCATAGTCTATCAACAATGCCAGTTTACATCGACCCCGGACCAATAATCGGGGTGAGGTTGCTCTCCCTGGTTATCTGTAAGGGTTTCTCTTCAAAAGGATGGGCATATGTTTACGTTTTAGGAGGCAAACTGCCAATTATGCCGGTCTGTGGTACGCAGCTCAGGGCCATTTGAGAACTGCGCCGGGTTTGTCCGGGATACCATGTAGCGGCGCGACTTTGAATCACGCCTAAAAGAAGCCTGCTTTTTAAGGGACTCTCCTTCCAGGATACCCGTCCAACTCCCAATTTTGACACATACCCAACTGGGTGTGCTTTGTGCATATATATATGCATTTATGTTTGTTTCTTGTCGGGGACCCTTTGGTAGACGTGAAAAGCCTCGGCATGCCTGTCCTTTCCGAGCACGACTCCGAGGCGCTGGAAGCGCGCGGAGGGCTCCAGCAACCCGCAGGCCTGGAGCTCCCAGAAGTTCCCGAAGGGCTGCCAGGCCAGGCAGCTGCCGTTGGACTTCTGGCCGGGAGAAGCAAAATGGCCGGGGCAAGTTTGGGGGAGGGGCAATGTCTGAGGGCCGAAGTTCCGGGCGAAGGGGGGAAAAGATGTTGTTTCTGTTTTCTTGTCTTTTTCCATTTTTTTTTTTTTTTTGGGGGGGGGGGAATTCTGTACCAAAACTTTTTCAGAGTGCAAAGGGAAGACGGAACCGATCCTCTCTTTCTTCCCCGCGATTTAGTTATGGGTTTTGTGGTTGATATTTGGTTCTTGCCACTTGTTAGGGGCAGATGCAGGTGATCCAAAACCCGGATACCAAGCCGGAAAAAGGCAGAGTACCAGAAGTGCGGATACAGAGGAAAATGCCACGCATGTAGACCCATATGTGGGTATTCAACATGGACCGGCTGGTTCGGGTGGCATGTGCAAATCCCCGGCGGCTGATGGGATGTACAGCCAAAACATTGCCAGTGTACAAAGCCCATCTATCCCGTTTTCCCCCTGGAGGTAGTGGCGTTGGGGTAGTCAAGAATCAGCATAAGGGATCAAGGGTCTGAAGCAGGCAGA